ATACATCAATATGATAAAAAAGAAACAAGAAAGAAATAGAGAAACAGAAAGTATAAAACAATGATGATAATACAACAATGAATATGAAATGAAACACAAAAATAAAAATAGAGAAACAAAAAACAAAAAGAAATGAATATAAATAAACAAGAAAGAATAAGGAAATGAATACAAAGAAATAGAATAAGAAATAAAATAAATGAATTAAATTAATTAATTAAATATAGATTAATTGAAGAAAAGAAATAAGAATAAAAAAATAAAAAATAGAATAAATATGATAAAATAAAATATGATAAAACCCAATAATAACTTCAATAAATCTTTGGTAAATACAAAGAAGATTAAATTAATAAAACAATTAAAAAATGAAATTGATATCATAAAAAAAGTGAAAAGTATTATAGTTAAAATATAATGGAATGGAACATGGCTCTATCACATTAAAACATACCTTGCATATCCACAACAATCTGACTTTTCTCAACAAAATGAAGAATAATAGTGAACACCTCTTCAACACTTAATTAACTCCTTTTTTTTTAATTTTTGTTCTGACTCTATTATATAAACTCACTTATTCTTTTGTTTCTTCTTTTTAATTTCTCTTTTCTTTCTTTTTCCTTTTTACCCTTCTTTTCTTTATTCTGTTTGTTTTATTGAACTTATTGGAACAATAGTTTTACAAGAAGAGTAATGTTTCCATTGGCGTAGATGTGAAATAGAAAGTTAGTGAAAAATTTAAAATGAATTAATTTTTGAAAGATTAAAAAGAGGAAAATACTAAAAAAAATTAAATAATGGAGATAAGACTTTGTGACCTTATCATTTATTTCATTGGTTTGGTGGATTTTTCAATAATGAAATAAATGATTGTATTTATTAAATAGGGATTGGGGGATGCTTTTGTCAAATAATTAAAACAATTTTTGGATTTAAGTGGTATAAAAATCTTCAAATACAAAAGGAAAGTACGTCATTTATGAAAGAAAAAGAAATAAAAAGAATGATTGAAAATAAAGAAAGAGTTCTACGTAGTGAAATTTGGATTCAGATTTATTATCTCATTATTACATTTGGTGTAGTTATAACCCCATTTGTTGGGTTTATTTTTAAACAAGTGAAATTTGAAAATGATTTATTAACTAATCACGTTTTTATTGTGGTGATGTCTTTTGTTAATTTTGTTGTTGGGCTTCCTGTTTTATTTACAAGAGTGTTAGTTAAATATATTAATAATTACAAAGAGCCAATGGTAACTCAAATTGCAAGTTATTTTGGGAAATTTAGTTTAAATATTATTACCAATATGTTTATTTTATTTATATTATATTATTTTTCTTTCCATGGAATGTATATTTTATTAACAATAATTAACTGTTGTTATTATTTTATTACAAATATCATTTTAATTCATATTATCCTTCCACATCAATCTAATCAACAACTAGAAAATAAAGAGATTAAATCAATGATTGAAGAGACATGTAAAGAGTACCATATCTCTTTAAAAAATATTTATGTAAGTGATTATATGGCAATTTCATTTTGTGGGATTGAAGAACAAAAAACATTACTTATTGGAAAACAATTTATTGAACATTGTTCAAAAGAAGAAATTAAAAGTTACATAATCTTTAACATAAACAATAACTTTGATAAATCAGTTAAATGCACATTAATGGAATCAGTCAATGCATTTTGTTTTTACTTTTTGATTGAATACCTTTATTTAAATTCAAACCAATTTTATTCAATTGACAATCAATATATTTGTATTGGAATGTTCCTTGTATTGTATCTCTATGAAAACTTATCTTATTTCTTTACAATGACTATAAACTCTATAGAATATTATTTTAACATTTCACAATTAATTAATATCCATCCTTCTCAACTCTCTTATTTTAAAAATTCAATCCTTCATCTTCTTCAATCACTTTATTTCTATGGTGATGAATTGAAAAAACTTCACCACTTAGAAAAACAAGAAAGGTTAATTGAACAAACAAGAGAATTAAAATATATGAATCCTTTATACAGAGAAGGAGATGACGATGATGAAGGTCATGACGATGATTGTGAATGTGAACAATGTGAATTTAAACGAAGAATAGTAGTACAACGTCAATTACTTCCCAAGAAAGATAAAGTAAGTATTGAAGATTTGTATAATGATATTTTGTCTCTGATTGAAAGCTCTCCTAACCCTTCCTTATTTCACCTTTTATCTACTCTTCATCTAAATGAAAAAAAATTAATTTAATTAAAAGAACCTTTAATTATTTAATTGTTAGCTTTTTATTTTGTTGATTTTTCCTCTTTATTCATTAATTCAATATCTTTTTGTAGTTCATTTTCTTGTATTTTTTTTCTAGTTGTCTCATTTTCTTGAATAATATCAGCACAACACCTAATAGTTTTTGGTAAATTCCAATCAACAAATGATTGGTGTTTACATATTGCTGGAATTTGCCATTTAATGTGATATACACATTCCACCTCAGTTATACTTATTACCATTGGTGTAGTAACATTCTCTATTAAACAAGAATATTCAACAATAGTTTTTCTATTCCCTTTTTTGCCTAAACAATAACTTCCATCAACATACCTTTCTTGAATTGAATTTTTATCGAAGTTGATAAAATTTAATCGTTGTCCAAGGATATTCCGTTCTAAAGTAAATCCATTTAGTACTCTAGTTTGTGTTATATTTTTTCCTGGACAAAGAACATATAAATAATACCCATTATTATATGAATAACAATTTGTTAATTCACTTTCTATTTTTTTTAATTGTTCTTCGTTAGACAAAGTTTGATTTTTAGGTTCAGGAATGCTACATTGGTATCTACTTTGTGAGTTCTTTTATTTATTTTAATATGACGCTTAACCAATTACAAAAACAAACTTTTTATCATTCATTGTAACATTATATAATATTCCAGGTGGGAGCTATACATATATCAATACTTTTTTTTTCTTATAGAACTTATCTTTTGTTTATGTTGATTAGTAGAATAGTTATAAAAAAAAACAAACCTTATAACATCGATTCTCCCATTCAATGTTATATTTTATATGAGGAAATTGGGCATGAACACCTATGAATATGATGAGATATAATGCAATCATTCTAATAGATTTGTTCTTTGTTTTAAGTTTTTGTTTTATTTTATTTTAAGTTTTTGTTTTATTTTATTTTTTAATTTTGTTTTATAAACGAAAAATGAATATGGAAAAAACTGTAGATTTTTTCATCCAATAATTCTTTAATGAACGTTCCTCAATGGCTGAAATCTTTTGAAGGAGAATTAGATCTAAATCAAGAAGTCCAATTATTTATTAAATTTATTGAGCCAAATAAAAATGAGTATAAAATAAGAGAAGAACTTTTAACAAAATATTCAAAAATACTTGAAAAAGAGGGTTACAATATAATGCCATTTGGATCAACACAATCAAAGTTGTTTTTGCCAACAAGTGACATAGATTTTTCAGTGATAACAAATGAGTACAATACAAGAAAGGTATTAAATTCAATCTCGTCAATTCTTTCATCTTATGTCCTTGAAGACCAAAAAAGAAATTTTAAAGCATCAGTCCCAGTTTTAAAACTTACAGATAAACAAACACTAATTGTATTAGACATATCACATAATAATACTAGTGGAACAAAAACAGTAGATTTTATAGAAGAAATTATAAAAAAAGATGATAGAATTAGAAGGTTGGTACTCCTTATTAAATCAATACTTTGTTGTTATGATTTTCATCAACCAGCTAATGGAGGTCTTGGAACATATTCAGTATTTGTAATGGTATATTGTTATGTTAATAATAATAATATTACAACACATGATTATGGAGAATTATTAAAAGGATTCTTAAAATATTATGGAATAGATTTTAGAAGTGACATAGAAGGGTTAAGTGTATTTGAAGGAAAGTTTAATAGAGGTGAAAGAAATTGGGACTCTAAGATTTCGAATTTATCAATTGAAGACCCATGTGACCTTTCAAATGATGTGAGTATTACTTCGTTCAGATGGCAATATATTAAATATTTATTTAAAATGAGTTATAATGCATTACATTATACTCATCTAAAAACATATGATTCGGAGCACTCTTTATTAAAAAGAATTATTTGCTTACCTGATGTATTCTTTGAACGAAGAAAATTATGGGAACAACTTATAAATCAAAATAAATCAGTAGTAATTCATATAGACGTCGATTCATTTCAACCAACAAATGAATTACTTCAACATATTGAACAACAACCAGAATCTTGTTTAGCTTCATCTATACAAAAATCTAAAGAAGAAATTCAAACAATAACGACTAATAAAAAAGAAGAAACAAACCAAAATATTAATACAAAGGATCAATACAAAAACGAAAAAATAAATGAACAAACAAAAATGGATGAAGTTATTTTTCATGAAGAAATAAAACAAAAAGAGGAAATGTAAAATTAAAAAAAAAAAAAAGAATGGTTATTGGATCCAAACAACAAAACATTAAATATTCATTGAACAAAAGATTAATTGAGTGGATGTGAAATTTGATCAGCTTTATCTTTTTGAGAGTCGTTATGAATATCAGGATGTGTTTCAATCATTGGGGGCATTTGTTGTTCTAAATCTACTGTATCTATGTGATGGTCTTCTTGTGTTAATAAATGATCATTATTAGTAATTTCATTAATAACACCAACAAGACGATTAGAAAAATCAATGATTTGAGTCAATTGTTGGTCATTACATTTAGTGATATTTTTTAATAGTATTAATATTTTATTTCTCGTTTCTTCTTTTAAAGTATCAAGTCCACAAACACAATCTTTTCTTGGTTTTTTTTCTTTTTTATTTTTATTAATCTTTGTTATATCACTAATACTTCCTAATGTTGATCCATATAATATTTTATTTCTTGGTCTTCTAGTCATTGACAACCGTGGTAAAATTGATTTTTTTGGTTCATTAACTTTAAGGTATTCTGTTACTTCATTCAATAAATTTAATTTAAGAACAGCTTTAGTACCTTCAGGTATTTTAGTTCCATCTTTCTTTTTCCAAAATGGTGAAAAATTGATGTAAGAGTCTTCATTTAAACCGTGATCAATTGTTTCTACTGGAATTTCATTTCCATGCTTTTGTTGTTCTTCTTCTTTAATTTCTTCTACTACTTGTTGTGTTGGTGTGTTTAAGTCAATTTCTTCTATAGCTTTTTGAACAATAGAATGTCTTTCGTTGTCTTGTCTGTTCTCCTCATCCATGGATTTGTTGACATTAATCTCAATTATCTTCGACTCAGTAGTTTTATCGTTGTTTTGCATTCTTATATTTTTTAGTTTCTAAAAACAAAATCTATTATTCTTTATTAGTTATTTGTCATAAATATCAAAACCCTTTTTCTTTTTTTCTCTTTTTGGTAGGATTTTTACTGAAACAATTTTTTGTTTTTTGAATTAACTCAGTAATATAATATTCCATGATTCAATTTTTTATCATTTTGTTATTTACGGTTCTTAGTCTCATTTTGATTTTCATTGTGGTTTAAGAGATATACAACAATTAAAATAAAGAAACTTAGAAAACAGAAAGAACTTTAAAGTTTTCAGATTTAAAAAACAAAAAATGAGTGAAGGAGAACAAAAACAAACTCCACAATTGAGTCTTGAAGAGACAGAAACAACCACAACACCAACTGAGAACCAACAACACCAAGAAAGTACTACTGTTGTTCAAACTAAACAAAAAGAAAATGGACCAAATAATACACCTTCTAAGAAAAGATTTGATGAAGTTGCTCATTTAAAAAAAGAAAGAACAGTTATGAAACAACAATTAGAAGATCTCAGAAAAGAAAGAAATGCATTAAGATTACAAATAGATTCATTAAAATCAGAAAATGAATATATACGTGGAATGCATGAGGAAAGTGAAGCTAAATTACGAGATATTTCAACTAAATGTAAAGAACTTGATTCACAATTGTCAGAAAAATCTATACAATGTGAAAAGTTACAGAAACAAGTTGCAATTATTGAAAGTGATAAGAAAGTTGAGATTGCACAATATGAAGCAGAAGTTAGTCAAGTTAAGAAAAGACTTTCAGAAGTAATGTCTCGTGATATTGAACAATTACGAGCTGAAGCTGAAAAAGCAAATAAACGAGCACTTGAAGCTGAAGAACGGATTGAAGAAAACAGAAAAGCAGCTCGAGCAGCAGAAGAAAAAGAATTAAAAGAAAGAGTAGGAAGAGAAGAAGAAGCTAGAGCTAAAGAAACATGGAAAGTAAGAGCATTAGAAGCAGAGAATGCATCAACAAAAGCAAATGAAAATAAGAAAAAGTTTGAAACATTAATATCTTCTCAAGAGAAACGTATTCAAGAACTTGAAGCAATTTTAGAAAGTGATAAAACTCAAATTGAACAAATACAAAGAGATCTTGAAAAAGAAAAACAAAAAGAAAAGACAGTAATTATTAAACAAGAAGAACAACAAAAAGATTTTGAAGGACTTAAAGAGTTAGAAGTACTTGGAGCTAAAATTGGTGAATTACAAATGGAAAAACGAATTGTTGTTGAAGAAAATAAAGAATTAAAAGAACAAGTTAGTAAATTATCTGAACAATTAAATGTATGGAAGAGTGAAACAGTTAAAAATTATATTTTATATTTTGGAAGTGTAAAAAGTAATGAACAATTAGAAAAAGAAAAACAAGAACAAACTAAAAGAGCAAGTTTTATGAATTATTTATGGAGGGGATATTCAGTTGATGGATTACCACAAAATGTATCAAAAGATTTATCAACAAAAATGCATCGAGTATTAGAAGAAACATTATATCAAAATGTTAAACAACGTTTGTTAATTTTATATTCTTTTTATTAAAAAAAATAAAAATTATTCTAAATAAATAATTTATTAATTTTAATTAGAAGATGAAATTGATGCATTAAAGAAAGAATTAAATAATCAATCAACACAAATCGTTCATTTAAATGATAAACTTACTGAAATAGAAAAACAAAAAATTATAAATCCTAATTCACAAGAGATAATTGTTACAGAAGAAATATCAAAAAATCCATCAGAAACAATAAAATTAAATCAAGTAGTTGCACCTGAACTTCCACCAAAATCAAGTAATCCATATTTTCCTAAAAGTAAAATAAGAAAAGATGATTAGATTAAATAATAAAATTTATTTTAATTTACATATTAAAAAAAGGAATAAATTAATTAATATTTTTATATTTTAAAAGTTATACAATCAATTAGAAGTTAATATGAATTAATTCCTACTGAAGATGATTCAAATTCATTTTGCATTATTTCTATTTCATGAATAACATCATCCATTGCTTGTTCTAATGCTTGTTTAGGAGTTATTGTAGTATCTGTTCTAATAGTCATTTCAATAATATAATTTAATGGATGAGGTTGTCTATATCCTGCAAATAACACATGAGGATTTCTTAATAACATAACACGAAGAATGTTTCCAGCTGTATGATCTTCTTTAACAAAAGTAAATTTACAAACATGACCATTTTCTTCACATAAAATTTTTTGTTCATTTGGTTTCATAACATAAATTTCATTTAAGTCTGGTGCGTTCATATTCTCTTTTCATTTTTTTTTAAGATTTTAATTTTATTTTTTGTTATTTTTTATTATTTTAAATTCTTATAATTATAATAAATTTATTATAATATATATTAAATTTCTTTTTCTCTTTTTCTTTTTAAATAAATCATTATTTGAACCAATTGAATAGGAAATCTATAAAATTCAGGATAATCATCCATGTTTCGACTAAATGAAAGACAATGGAATCAAATCAAAAAGGATTTAAAATTTGTTTCTAAAGGTGCACAAGGTGAAGTGTTTAAAGGAAAATTATTAAACAAAGAAGTTGCAATAAAAAAATTTAAACATGAAGATGATTTTGTTAAAGAAGTTGAGTGTATTAATAATTGTGCATGTGAATTCATTGTTTCAATATTTGGAATTACACCAACACCAGAAGCAATATTTCTTGATTGGTTTCCTTATGATTTAGAAAATTATATTATTGAAAATCAATTAACATTAAATGAATCAAAAGTGTTATTATCTGATATATCAAAAGGATTGGCTTATATCCATCGAGTAGGATATATTCATTTAGATATTAGACCTAAAAATATTTTAATTAGAAATCAAAGAGCTGTGATTTGTGATTTTGGAATGTCAATTATTGATCAACCACCTTATAATCATAATAGAGCTGTTGATTGTTGGGTTGCTCCAGAAATCGTTTTTGGTAAAGAGGTATCTACTAAAACAGATATCTATAGTCTTGGATTAGTGATCTGGTTTGTTTGTGAGTCAAAAGGAACTGATCCTTTTCCTAAAACTACAACTGAGTCTATGATTAAAGCTGCTTTTCAATGTAAAGAAAGGCCTAGATGGAACGCTCCAAAGATTGAAGAATTAAAAAAAATCCATGACATCACTAAGAAATGTTGGAGAGATGAAATGGAATCAAGACCTACTGCAAGAATGATTATTGATTTGTTCAATGAAATAAAAGAAAAAACGTTATAATAACTTTTAATAAAATTTAATTTGTTTCAACTTGATTGACTGTCTTTAAAAGTTGTTGTGTCTTTATTCTTATCATCGATAATTTATGAACCTTTATATCATTTATTAAATTGTTCAAAATAATACTTCAAAAAAATAATTTTCATTAAGTTTTAAAAGAAGAAAAAAAGGATAAATAAAATAAAGAGAATGATAATTTGTATTTTAGTTGTTCCTTGTGTTTTGTTTGTGTTTCTCTTTTATTATTATATTTGTCTTTCTTGTTTGATTTCTTGTTGTGTTCTTTCTATGTGATTTCTGTTGTTTGAAATTCGTATATTAAGATACTTTTAGATTAATTCTTGTTTTGTTGTATCTGCTCCTTCTCTCTTCTTGTTCATTAATTCTTATTCATTTGTTAATGAAATGAATGTAGTGATAAACAGATTAATCACAACAAATAACAGAAACACAAACAGTAAATCAATAAGAAATCCATTGTATCAACCAATAACAACAATACGACACGAAAATAACAATAAAAGTGAAGTATCAAATAATAATAACACACTCTCTGAGGATTGAATAATATTATTAATGAATAGATTTATGAAAATGATAATTTAAGTAAATTTTGTTATGGTACTTTGTTTTCTACTTTCATTAATATTCTAAAATTTTATCATTGAGTTACTCAAACAAATGTGTGTATTGTTTAGTAAATACTGGAAGGAAAGGTGGCATTCTAGTTAAGTTCTGTTTGGTTGAATAAAGGAGACAATATTTTGAATAACACAAGTTGAATAACACAAAAAAGTCAAGGAACTAATGACACGAAAATAATAATTTTTGTATAGGAAAAGTGAAATCTTAGAATATTTCCTCTTTATAAATGATCCATTTAAAGTTTTCACTTTTTTCATTTGGGTCTGTCTGGAATGAATGGTGTTGCCACAACAGAGAGAAAAAAACGGTCAAGAAAGGCTGCTTTTTATGCAACAGAAAAACCAGCCATAAGTTCTAGTAATGAAGTTGTATTTAATTGTCAAGTAGTATTACCTCCTTGTTCTATAACTTACTTATTAGATACTAATGGAAGTGTTGAAATTGGATCAAGTGGAAGAGGAGATAATTTTGATGGAATCCAAGACATTGAACTAATTGTTTGGTTATTTTATCTTAAATATCATTCAAAACAAAATTCATATTTGTTAGAAACATGAATATCAACCATCAAAACGATATAAAATTGGAATTTCTCAAACAATAGGTAAACATGATCGTATGCAAGATACTTCAAATGTATTAGGTGATTTATTTCCAAATATTGATATAATTGGTATTTTTGATGGACATAATGGAGAAGAAGCTGCAAGATATTGTTTATTGTCAATGAAAAGTGAATTTAGTTGTTTAAATCCAAAAGATTGTGAACATCAATTACCACAAATATTTGAATCAATCCATAATAATATTTCATCACAAACAATCAGTGGAACAACAGCATCTATTTGTATTATTCGTTCAGATGATGTTATTTTAGCTCATGTTGGTGATTCACCTATTTATTTTTATGAAAATGGTCATTTAACTAGAATGACACAAAACCATTCTGCTACATTTGAAAAAGAACGAATCATTGCATCAGGTGGAAAAGTAGTAAATATTAAAGGGGTTGATCGTGTTAATGGTCAAATAAATCTTTCTCGTTCACTTGGAGATAAACTTCTACAACCACCATTAACTTATAATCCTGACATATCAATTCATTCTCTTTCAATGAAATATATTGTGATTGTAACTGATGGAGTAACTGATTCACTATCGTTTGTTTTATTTTTTTCTCAGTTTATTTGTGATTATTTCTTTTTTTTATAGAAAGATAATTAATTGGAACAGAGATAGTGAAATAGAAACAATCTTATCAAAACCATTATTTCCAGATCAATTAGCCGCTACAATAAGAAATAATGCTTTTATTAATGGAAGTGTCGATAATATCTCTGTTATTGTAATTCAAATTATATAATACTTAGATTACTCTTTTGTTTTATCGTTTAATGTTAATATGAATTGAGATTTAAAGTGAAGTTTGATAAAAAAGAAAAAGTTGATAAATTATAAATTCAATCATTCAAAAAAAAATTATTGCATTTGATATTTCATTGTTCCTGTTGCTGAATGGAACACCCCATGGAAATTGAAGGATATTTCTATATCAAGGAATCTTGGATTAATATCATTAAATTTTAATGAATAAGTTCCTTCAATAATTTCACCTGCTGCAACAGTAATTGGTTCATCAAGATAAAACATTGATTGATGCCAATGTGTTTCTACTTGATAAGGAGATGTTGTAAGAACTTCACCACTTTGAGGGAATGAAACATCAAACCAAGTAGAAAAACCATATACAAAATCTTCTCTAAAAGCTTTAATTTTAAAAGGAGAAGTAAAACATTGGTCTTCATATTTCATTGTATTAATATCAATAGTTAATATACAATCATCAGAAGTTACAATAGAAGAAGAATTAAGAGTTTCTACTAATGGTTCTTTTAATACTTCAGCCCTCATTGGAGTCATATTAAATCCATAAACATTTCTCCAAAAATTAATTTTATTATCATAATACCATTGATCTTCAATACCATTGATATGCATAGTACATTTATCAGGTAATATTAATCCACCTTTTATCAACCATTTATCTCTAGCATAAAGAACTGATCCTAACATTGATTCATATAATAAATTATATCCCATCCACTCTGAAATAATTACATCAACACGTTCAACTGGTAATGTAATATCTTCAACTCTTCCACGAATAACAGTAATAACATCTTCAAACCCATTATTTTTGATAACTTCTATTGCTTTTTCTCCAATTGCAGCTCGTTCAATTGCATATACATGTTTAGCACCAGCTCTTGCAGCAAATAATGATAAAATCCCAAGACCACATCCAACATCAAGAACAATCTTTCCTTTAATATTACAAGCATTAATTGCTTTTTCATAAGTATGTGTTCGAGTATAATCACTAATCATTTGTTCATGAATATTAATTGTAGAGTATGAATCCCAATAGTATTCTAAGTCTGCTTTCTTTTGATCAACTGCAAATTGTTTTGATTCCATTAATCAAAATACTTTTATATTATTGTTTGTTCCTCTTTTAGGGTTTTTTGTTTATGTTATTACTTCCTTTTTTGTTATTCAGTTATTTTTATTCATAACACTAATAGATGAGAATTGACTTATTGAAAACTAACTCTATACCGTCATAATTCTTAAGGCTTATAAACAGAACCATATTTTAAAAAAAACTACTTAAATTCGATTTTTATAATTGGTAATATACTTGATGGCAATGATATAGAGTAATTTACCAATTTTAAATTAGTTGGACTATGAAAAAGATTTAGAGATAGTTTTGACTATTTTTTTCAACAAGAAGCCCAGTCAACTAAGTTAGAAATAGCTTTATATTTTAGTTTTTTATGTTCCCAACTTTGAAATAAAGTTAACAAATATTCATCAAATAGTTTATTGATAAACTAATAAAGAATACTGTTTTTTGAATAAATAAAGAGTAAAAAAGAATTATTATTTTTCATTTTAAATAACTTTGTTAAAGCAGTTTTAATTATATTCAAAAAGAACTAAAATAATAACAATTAATTTAATTATAATAGTAGTTAGGATCTTTCTTCAAATCTGAGAAAGATTTAAGTTGTTCTGGCATTTCTGGACAATCGGTTTGAATTGGTTCGATGTATTTTCCAATTAATTTTGGTTGAATGTTTTGGTCTAAAAGTTCATATGATGTTATGTTTAATGGATATGAATTAATAATATCAAAGATATGAATATCACCAAAGTAGTTGTTGGTTTTATTAGTTTTAATTTTGTTGAAGAAATTATAGAAACATTCTTCAAATCTTTGTAATAATTCAACAGACATAGTTTGTTTTGAAATTTTTTTGTACATCTTTGAAGGATAATCCACAAATGAAAGAGTTGAATTCTTTTCAATAGAATAACTTAATGATAGAAATCCTTCTGTTGTAAAATCATTTCTATCAAAATCTAATGCAACTAATGTTTTATTATTCATAAAAATTTCTCCGATTGGAATTGTACTTAAATCATTTAAATGATTACCACTAATATCAATAGCTAATAAACTTTCATTATGAACAATTTCAAATAAAAAGTCATCCATACAAGTATTTTCTTTTTCTGCAATTTCATTAATTCTTAATATTTTAACATTACTATGCCCTCGAATAAATGTAATTAAATTTTTAATAAAATCTTCTAACTCTTTTCCACTCATTGGATTATTTCCAATATATAATGTATCTAATTCATTAAATGTTTCCATAAATGTTAAAATTCTATTCATTGCTTTTCCTTTTAATTTATTACCACTTAAATCTAACTTTTTTACACTTTTAAAACTTGGTAATATTTTATATAATTCAATTCCTCCATCAACTCCAAATCCATTATTCTTTAAATCTAAACTAATTGATGTTAAATTAACATTATTTGCAATTGGTGATAAAACAGGAACAATATGATCAATTTGAAATTTCATTTCACTCATACAAATTTGTTTTAATGAAGTATTTGTTTGAAAGAAATTAATTAATTCCATTGCTTGATCTAATTTATTCCATTTATTTCCAGTAATATTCAAATATTTAAGATTAAGTCCTTTCATTTTATTCATAACTTCTTCAAGATTAACATCTAAATTAGAAATATTAAGATATTCAATTTGAGATTGAATAGTACTTAATTTTTCTATGAATAATGGTAATTCTAATATACAATCTTCATTTTTTCCATTATTAGAAATATCTAATGCTTTTATATTTTTAATTATATTTTCATTTAACATCATACCTCTCATCATCTCTCCTAATTTATTAATTCCACACCCATTAACATCTAATTTAATTACTTTATATTCTCTTTTACTCATCATAATTCCTAATGACTCTCCTTTTATAATTGGTGTTCCATGAAAATTAATAATTTCAACAGGTGAAATTGCTAATTCTTCACTAAATTCTTTAGCATCAAGTTTAGTAGAACAATTAACAACTTCAAGTACTTGAATGTATTCATTTCTTTGTAATAATAATGCAATTGCTTTATCTAATCCTGGTGCTGAAACGTCATGTAATTTAATTTGAGTAAATGAAGTGTTATAACTTAATGCAGTAAATGCATTAGATAAATTAAAACCAATAGGTGATTTAGAATTACAAACTCCTGGAATTTCACTAAAGTCAAAACAATAAGAATTTCTTTGTTCCATTCTTTTAAGAAAATAAACATGATTAACACTAGGTTCTTCATTATTTCTACTACAAATACTTAAATATGATTCAACCATTGCTGAAGATGGAGTAAGATTAAAATCTTTATTTGGTTTTGTAATATCTCCAAAATCTGTTATTGAAATAATTTTATCTTCTCCATAATTATTGGTAGTATCACGTATTGATGTTCTAATTGCCCGTACCATTTCAATAGCTGCTTGTTCATAAAATTGTACACTCTTTACTTTTTTACCAATTTGAAATGTTAGAATAATCTTTGAGTTAGAAGGAATTTCAATTGATTTAATATCAAAAAGATGACTATGATATTTAGGAATTTTAAATTTCTTTGGTTTAAAGAAATATATTCTTTGATTAGTAACAATTACAACAGCATCTTTATCTTTCTTTTTATCATATTCTACTTTGAGAACTCTTTTCCATCTAATACAATCTCCATGTTTTGGATATCCTAGATTATAATCATGTTTTGTTTCATCATAATAAGGTTCAATCATACTCATATCATTCCCCATGTTTGTCTTATATTTTTTAATTTTTAAGTTTTCTTTTTCCTTAGTTCTTATAACCTCTGAATTTACACAAAAGAAAATAACTTTTCAATTTAAAATATTGGTTTGTATTGAAGATTAAATAAAATCCAATTTCGTATTCAATTTATATTCTTCTTTTCTAAATATTTTGATATTATGACGTGGTTCATTTTCATTAAAATTGGTTTTGTTTGCCAAAAACAATACTAAACTTGATGAATATCCCCAAGAAACTCACTTCGTTATTGCCTTTTTTTAGGTACTTTCTAAAACTATTAACCTGAATGTCTCTAACAGGCAAACCTCATGAAGAGAGAGAGACATTATGAAAGATGACCAAAAATTGTACTATTCCAAAAGGTTAATTAAACACTTAGAAATACTATTTAATCAAAATTCATCAGAATTTAACTCATTATTAATACTATACACCTCAAATTATTTTCTTTAAATAAATCCTATTTTTTATATATATTTTGAATTATAAAACAGGATTTTAATCCTAAGATAATTTCTTGATAAAACTAAGACTTTAATTCTTATTTGTGTCTGTCTTTAAAAAGTTATTAATACATTAAACAAGAAGATTGAAGGATTTGTTGTTTGAAAATTGAATTGAGGAAAACAACAAAAAAAATGGTAATAAGTTTTAAATAAAATCATTAATTCGTTTCAAAAATATTTTTATGTTAATTTTGGAATACCAATTAATAACAGAAAAGTGCTGTGTATTTAAGGCATAACTCCCAAATTTTATATTTTATAACAAGGAATGGTTGCTAAAAGAGTTTTTTTAAGTAAAGAGAAGTTTTATCTTTTATAAAGGAGGACCAAACCCTTTGCGTTTCTTGGTGTTTGTTTAAATAAAAGAACCACTAAATGAATCTAAGGGTTTGAATAAATTCACTTAGTGGTTAATCACCTCTATTTCACTGTGAAGAATGATTAATTTTTTAGAAGTTATTCTGATACTGTTGATATTAAATAATTAACAAATAACAACAAAACATGTTAAAGTAATACACTAATAAATGATATCATTTATTTTAGTGTTTTGGGATTTCTGTTCTGATAAGATTATGTTGTGCGGTGTGTCATATTACTAAAAGACATAAATCTATTATCACAACAAAGATTTATTGTTTGGACGATTGTATTGTAGAATACAAAAAGCTATGATAATTTAAAAAGACTTAAAGTACTATTTATCCATGTTAAGTGAAAAGAGTAATGCCCAGTGATCAAAAATAAGACGTCTTAAGTTAGTATTAAGCTTTTACAATTTAATTGGTGATTGACCTTTTTTGTAGTGTATAGACTAGGTATTTCTAATTGGAATAAATTAAAAAATAATGTTTGACTCTAGGACAACTAAGATAGAATAAGTTAATTAAATGAGTTAATTGGTTGTATTTGATTCAATAAAACATTTTATTTTGGTAATAAATTCAATGCCTTTTTCACTAATTTCATGATTATCTTGGATCTGTTCTACCTGAATATTAGAATTTAATTCTTTAATTTTATTAATCAATAAGTTATATTGAGTATTGTCTAATGGAATATATTGGTCTTTCATACTGAAAACAAATAGACTTGGCAAAGAGACATTTCTATATCTTTCTATAATTTCTGTTTTTTTCATGTCTTCGCTAAAAAAGTCTTCATTTCCTTTTCTCATAAATAATGAGATAAATCTTCTTTCTAGAAGAGGAACAATAGAACAATATTTATATTGGCATAGCTCAATCTTTTCGTCATTGGTTGTGCTCTGACTCAAATCTTCTTCTTTCATTTGATATTTTTTAAGTAATCTTTTCTTCTCTCTTATCACTTCAAGGTCATTTCTTACAGAATCTCTGTCACTAACAGGAGCTTGTAAAACACATTTCTTGATCGGGTATTTCAAATGAACTTGTTTTTCATACATTCTCATTATGTCTTGACATCCTGTTGAATGCCCAATAATAAATATCTCATGTACTTCTTGTCCTCTTATTATTTGTTGAATAATTTGTTCAATATCGTCAACGTCATCATCAATAGTACAAACACCAAATCCATACCCACTACTTCTGAGTTGAGCAATAACTACTTGATACTCGTTATGTAAATGGTCAGCAAGTAAATTGAATAACTGATGATTAAACAGGTTATTAGTTAGTCCACCAATACAAAGAATAATCTTATTAGAATTCCCAACAGAAAAATATCCAACATCATAATTAACTCTGTTAAGTGTTCCAAACATAAACTCTTTTTTTTTTAGATTTTGAGTTTCATTTCATAGATAATTGCTTTAATTCCAACCAGTTTTGAGAAATTTTATAGTGTTTTCAAATGTTCACTTAATAAAGTAATAATTTTAAGAATACTTCATACAAATATTATAAAATCAGAAATAAGTTAAGGCACTATCATTGAAACAAGAAATAGAGGATTTAAAAGTACAGTTGTTATTTTGTACATTCAAAGAATACATTTTTGTTTAATGAATCTTGTAGTTCATACCATATTCTTATATTAGTTGATAGTATTATAGATGTTATTCTATAGTTGTGAGCTTGAATAAAAAAAAATGGTTTGAGACTTTCATTAACAAGAATAAATTACTATTATTTATCTATTAGATTTTTGATGCTGAAGAATAGATGAAAGGAAAATTTATAACAAAGAATTATTTAAATTTTAATACTGTCCCTTTGGTTCTATTTAATCAAACCAATGCCTAAGTTTCATTTATTTATTTTAATTTATATATAACATCATTTTAAATCAACATTATTAAATTATCTATTTCTTCAATACTTCAAATACAAAAATATAAAAAAATGGAGAAACTCTAAAAATTACTACCAAACACACAAACTAAAAGGATATATTTAAATTATTTATCTTTAATCTTTAAATAAGTTATAAAATGAACAAATTGTATCATGATATTGTATTTGAAATATTAGTTGTTAAATCAATTAGACTAAACTCATTGAAAACATGGGTATTTTTAGAGTTAATAAAATAAAATAAGAGAAATGAAATTAAAGAAGTCATCATTATTAACTCGAAACAGGTTAATTAAAAATATATATTTTTTTAATCATAGAACATTTTCATTCCCCTAAGTTTGATGAATAAAAAAATTTAATCAAATAACATCCTAAATTTAAACTTACTAAGATAATCATAACTAATACTAAATAAAAATAAATAATATAATTTAATGAAGTTAAAGACTATTTTAAAATAATGAAATAATCAGACTCTATCTTAATACTAGTTATGAAAAACAATTTAATTGAAATCCTTTTTAATAAAAATAAAAAAGTAGACAGATGATAATAGACTGTGAAAATAAAAAGATCAAACTAACTAGTTCCTTCTTTCATTTTAAATTCAATTTTATTTATAAAGTTTTGTAATTTATTTAATTATTAAATTAAAATTATGTATAATTCATAAAAAATAGTTTTTTTAGAAATATAACAGTAATAATTGAATAAAAAATTATAATAAATAATTATTTTCTTATCAGTTAGTTGTAACAAAATGATTAGATTGCTTCTTTAAAAAGAAACAAAATAATTTCTGAAAAGACTATCAATCAAATAAAAAAAAATAAACTATTATTTAATTGATAAACATTTATTAAACAAAACAATAAACAAGAACTTGAAAAAAGTTTTAATGGAAATAAGTGATAAAGAAATACTCAATGAAATTATTACATGCGATGAATTAAAAAAGGAGTGGAAATTTGATGAAATAGGAATTATCGGTATTGGGTATAATGAATTTATAAAAAAATATCCAAGAAATGAAATAAAAAATAAAGTAATTTATATTCATAAAAATAGTATTGGATTGTTCTTTGAGTTAATTGGTCAAATGTATAGAGTTGCTCTGAAAAATATAAGAGATTATCCAATTGAATGTAGTACAGTTTGTCTTATGATTAATGGTGATTGTTCGATTGCATGGAACAAACGTTTTGAATTAAAAATAAACGAAATAAGTGAGATGAGATTTACAGAGAGTTTGAGTAAAAGATTTAAGAAAGGATTTTTGATATATTATTATCGAGAAATGATCTACTCAAAAAGAAATAGACTTTTAAAACAAGAAGAAAGTAAATATGAATTTAATTTTATTACCAAGGCAATATCAAAATATAGCCGAGGATATCATTTATATAAACATATTTTATGGTTAATTGATCATTGTTATATTGACCATATTTATTTTGATATTATGAAGTGGTGCGAAGAAGGAATAATAAATGATTCAAGTGATTATTCATTAATGAATATTAGAAAAAGAGTGATTGAAATATACTATAGTATAGAATTTATAAATAATTCTTATTTTATTAAATTAAATGAAATTAACCAACAAATAAAAGACTTTTTTATTTCAGAATATGTTTGGGTATCCACTTTAATTCATTTAAATCCACAACATGAATCATTATGGTTTTACCATTATACTATTAGCCAATTAATTAAATGTATTCAAACTAAATTAAGCAAAGAAAATAAACAACCATTTAACTTTACAAATTACATAAAATTAATTTATGAACAAAATAGTTGTATTAAAGTTTCTAAAGAATTTACTGAATTAAATATTTCCTTAATCAACCAATACTCATTTAATCCAATAAACTCAATACAACTTCAATTTCTTAATTATGAAAAAAATAGAGTCTCAAATAAAAAAGTAATGAGACTTGTTGAAAGAAGATTAACATCTAATTTAGATTAAATTAAAATATTATTATTCTTCTGTTTTCTAATATTTCTACTTTTATATAAATACATCCCCTTTAATTCAACTTATTCATTCTTTGATTATTTTTATTTAACTTTTTGTATTAACTTCTTAATGCTTTATTGTTAATTCATTCTGTGCTATAAAACATTAAGCCATTATATTAGTAAATTCATTAAAGTTAAAAACAATTAAATATTTATTTTCATTTTTACATATTCCAATAAACGTCTTTTCATAAATACTTACTCATGTCACAAAAAACAAAAACTAAATAATTTGACGTATTAGACCCCTTTTCTCTTCTTTAAGATGTGATAAGACTTTACACCTCTTATAAAAATACTTATATCTCCCCAATATAACTTGTTAAAAATAAACACAACCATAGTTAATATAATATTCTTATATTATTAATTTATAAAAATAAAGTGCATTAAACTAATTATTGTTTTTATTGAATATTGTGCTTCCTGGTTCAGTTGTAAGGATAAGACATAATAATGAAAATAATACTTTACCTAATTTTAATCCTTTCAAATAACGATATCTTCAAAATCCTAAAAACTAATTCAAAAAACAGGAATAATAATCACTCAGTTCTTAAAAACTGAAATTATTAACTGTTTTTATGAAAAAAGATTTTTTAAATTTGTTTTTATTAGCTCTGAAAGTAAGAAATATGAGTAAATAATAATAGAGACACAAGACAATATTTGAAATAAAAGTGAATATAATAAAGACAATGAATGGTTAGTCAAAGAGTAAATAACAAAGACAGTTATAATGTTGTAGTATAAACAGAAAATGAATAATGAATAATAAAAACAAACCCTTAAAAAAATGAAATAATAGAAAAATAAAAGAATAAAAAAGTCATCAACAACCAAAATTAAAATTAGGCGAGAACAAAGAATTTTCTAGCTGGGAAGTGTTGTGCCTTTTTAGCAGCTTTAACAGTTTTAAGGTTGAGTTGTGCTTTGGTTAATTGTCTTCTTTCCTTTCTAGTGGTCTTTGGTCTAATTTCTTTTGGAACATATTTGGCTTGTTTGTAATACTTTCTAAGAGCTTCCATTCTTTGGGTGTTCATGACAGTTAATAATCTAGCAATATCTTTCTTAACAACTCTTAATCTTGAGATTTTAGCTGGAGCTCCACCAGTAACTTTAGCGGTTCTAAGGTTGGCGAGTTCTCCTTTAAGTTCAACCAACTTAGCATTCATATCATTTTTGCTCATGGCTTTAATGGCGGAAATCTTCAAAGACACTATTTGTTAATATATTTTCAATAAGATATCACTTTTATTTAAAATAATGAATTAAAACAAATATGGTATGTACAGTAACAAACTCTTTGCTCAATCTTCAAAGTTTGTTTGAAGGGTTTTTCTTTTATTTTTTTCTTTTTTCTTTTTATCTAATTTTTTTTATATTATTTTAATTATTTATTATAGTTTTAGTGAAGAGGGGTTTTTTATTATCTATTTTTGAAACTCTGTTATATATAACGTTAAATGATTTAGAAGAGAATGAATTACAAGACTAAAAAGGATAGTCTACCATCATTTGCATTGTGACCAATGGTGTAATTGCTGTTACAATAATACTAAACCAGTCAGTTGGACCATTAAGGAATTGGTTTCTATAATCTTCATAGACTCTATGATAATCATAAACATCTTTTTCAAGGACTTCACTTCTAGTGACAGCAATACCATTAAATAATAAATTAAAAACACAACGACAAAAGAAAGAAAATACAAGAATAAAACTACAAATCATTTCTCTTCTTTTAATCTTTTTAAATTCAACATCAATAAATGTTTTAAATATTTCATGTAAATGAAGAATAAAAAATATCATTGATATACCACATAAAAGAAAATGAACACTTGATTCAAATCCAAACATTATTTCAAATATTGTAGATGTATATGATGCTTCAACTAATTTAGATGAATAACTTTTTTTATATTTATAATAAAATAATTAACAAACGTACAAAACATCCTTGATACTGCCATAATATTTCACAATAAACTAATAACACAATATTTGATACAATAGTACATACACTAAATCCAATATTAAATGAATTAATTCCATCAAACCATTTTGTTAATGAACTTTTGTTATTAGGTAAGAGTCTTGATAATTGATTTTTACTAAAGAAAAAGATAAGTTCTTATTTTCTTAAATAAATATTTTATTGTTTTAATAGAAGAATTACAAACACTGTAGTAATTGTAAAAAAGAATGTAAATAATATTCCATAGACACATCCGATATCTAATAATTCATAATACATATAAAAATTAAATGAATTAACTCCTATTCCATAATATATTAAACATCCAATACCCATTAATAATCCATCTAAAATAGTAAAGTAATTTCCAATTCTAAATACTATTCTTGGTCCAAGACATGATTTGTTTTCAAAATGTTTCATTTTAAATCTTTTTCCAAATCTCAAACAATTATTAGTAATTGTAAATATAAATACTATTAAATAAAAAAAGCATAATAACAATCCATCAACCAATGCAGCTGTCTCTAAAGAAATACTCATTTAAATCTTTCTGTTCGTTCATCTTCCTTTTTACTTCTTTTTTTTTTTTCCTAAAATAATTTTATTATATTAAAACTATATTAAAACTATTAAATAAATTAAATAACATTCCTATTTTGCATTTAAATCATTTCTCTTTAAATTACTTCATTCTCCATTTAAATGAGATAAAACATATGAATTCATAATTAATGAAACATAAGGACTTCTTTCTAAATCAATTTTTGCAGTTTCTTTTTTAATAATTTCAATAGTCTTTACTTCTAATCCACCTTTAGTTCTATTAAAGAAATGGAATGAATTATTATGACTCATGTAAATAATTTCAAATCTCCAATAAGGATAATAAGTAGAAAATTCAGTTGGTAAAATATCATTATTTGAATGATAAATACCAATTACTTTTTCTAGTGGTGGTAATTGAACAATTCCTACATTTAATGGAAATATTCCATCAAAGACATATAATAATGGAGTAATTTGTTGTCCTAATAATAATCCAAAAGAATGATTAATTAATCTTGAGTGTAAATCCATTATTAATAGTAATGAATTTTCCATAATAATATGACTCTCATCAAAACTAACCATTTCTTCACTAAATTTTAAACTTCCACATTGTTCATTTTCATTAATTACTGATGTACTTGAACTTCTTATTCCTTCACTATGATGAAATGTATTAGCATTACTACTTTTCTTTTGAATTCTATTTTTTGATCGAATATATTTTCCAACAACTGGTCCACTATTAATCCATCCTGCTTTTTCTAAAAAATTATGAATTCTTCCAATAGCATTAACATCCCCACAATCTTTCATTTTGAGTCTAACTTGTGTTTTAGAAAGATAATTTGGTTTTGTTTCATTCCACATATCAATAATTTGATTTCGAATTGTCATATATCGTTCTGGTGTTTTGGTATTTCTTCCCATAAAAAATTCTTGATTTTCTGCCATTTCTTCTGGTAAAACAGTATTTCTATTAAATTCTAATGTAGTTGAGAAACTACTAACACTTCCCATTGTGTCGGTTGTTTCTGTTGTACCTTCATTCATATATCTAGTATCTTTAGGAACAGCTGATTCAGATTGAAATTGTCCTGATGTAAGAAGGTCATATTCTCTTGGATAAGCAGGTTGATATGTTTGTTCAGGTTCTTTTGATTTTGATTTTGTAGTTTTGTGTGATGAAGGTTTACTTGAAGTAAATGTTGATATAAAAGTACCAATTTTTGAACTAATACTTTTGTCTTGTTCTAAAATAGTGTTAATAAATTCCTTTATTCACAAAAACAGTACTTATTTTCTTTCTTTTAATAAAAATGATAATCACCAAACTCTCTTCATTAGCAACCAGATTTTGTTCTGTCTCAGAATCTTTCTTTGATTTGAAGAATTGAAAAAGAGGTTTTTTGTCATCTTCTTCCATATTTTTCTTGATACTTTTTAAAAGATTTTTATTTAAAAAAACTAAAAATAGAAAAAAACTAATCTAATAAATTAAAATTTAAAGATCTTTTTTGTATGTTTTTTCTTCTACTACATGGGTTTAGTGAAAATAGAATGGACAGTTTGTAACATTGGAGTTTTTTAGGAGTAATAGAGATCTTATAATTTTAAATGAAGAAACATTCCTCCGCAATTGATTTAAGACAAAAAGTTTGAGTTTTCTCCTCATCAACCAGTTAAGAAGAAAGAGTAGTCATATTTTAGGGACTTAAGAATTTAAAAGGACTACCTAAAGAAGCCTTTTCAAGTTCAACAACGATATATGATATGGACCTTAGTGAAAATGAAATAGTTTGAAATTTCATCACTTTTTTTTAAGAATCTTTTATTACGTGTTATTGTCTTTTCGTTCTAAAATAATGATATAGGTATTTTCAAAACAACTCAAAACATTTAAGTCATTAACTTCTCTTATTGTTTCAAATAACAAGCTAACAGAAATACCAATTTTTTTTACTGAATTAATAAACCTTAAAAAACTTGATGTCAGTAGGAATCAAATAGCTTTAATTCCCCAAACACTAACTGTTCTTAAAGAGTTACAAGACTTTAATGTCTCTAATAATAGAATCACAGAGGTTCCATTATTTATTGATTCATTTGAGAGGTTAAGACAATTTGATTGTTCATATAATGACTTAGATCATTTACCAAAAGCTCTTGTTAATATGAAAATTATTAGTGTTTGTTTATCAACCTTATTATACAGAAGATCTCTTTATTAATGTATTGTAGTTTAGCCTTTCAGGAAATAAGTTTGATAATGTTCCAACTCCAGTTCCTCAAATGACTTTATTAACACACCTTGACCTTTCAGAAAATAAAATTACAAGTATTCCTGAAGTTTGTAGACAACTCTCTCATCTTCAAAGCCTTGATCTTCATTCTAACTTGATTGATTCTTTCTCAGAAAGAATATTTGAAAAAATGACAAAGATGACAAAATTAAATCTCAGAGATAATCCATTTAAAGTAATTCCTGAAATCACTTCTCTCATTCATTTAAAAGAATTTTACTATTCTAATATTATTGATCCAATTAATAAAAAGTTCCCTTCCATTTCAATAAACACTGAATTAGAAAAGATAGAATTAATTAATAGTTCAATTGAAGAGTTTCCGTCATTAATCAATCTCACTAAAATGATGTTATTATGTCTTCATAAAAATGAGATTACATCAATTCAAGATATTCCAAGAAGATGTTCTGTTGATGCTTCATTCAATAAAATTTCAGAAATTACTATACAAAGATATGCAGATTTACCTGTACTAAAGTTAGGTCATAATAAATTTATTCAAACACCTAATTTATCACAATGCGAAAAAGTTCAATTGTTAGACCTTTCTTATAATAACATAAGTACAGTTAATGATCTTACATTCCACACTTCTATTGAACAATTGATATTGAATAATAATCCATTGAGAATACCACCAATTGGAATTACTAAGTGTGCATGTCTGACATTATTGTCAATGTCTAACTGTGAATTATATTCTATTCCAATTGATATAGTTAGTGGACTTTGTAACTTAAAAGTACTAGACATATCAAACAATCATATAATTAGTTATGAACATTTTGAGCATTTAAATAAATTAGAAGAGTTACGAGTATCATCAAACAATATGAATTTTTTCCCTAAAGAGTTTTGTAAAATGAGTCAAATGAAAGTATTAATAATGAATAATAATAAAATTAAAGTAATTCCAGACACTATCAAAGAATTAAAACTATTAGAGAGTCTTGACTTATCTTATAACCAAATTAGAGAATTTAATACATTAGGATTAAATAAAAATCTAAAAGAATTAAATTTATCATTTAACCTAATCACTGAATATTCAAATCCTTCTCAATGGGACCAATTAGAAGAGTTTAATATTATTGGTAATCCATTAATTAATACCTTTGGATTATTTTCTTATTGTAAAAAGATTAAAACAATTACTGCAACATATAATATTCAGAGACTTAACCAACCATCATTAGAACTTACTGGAATATTAGATGATAAATTAATAAAGAAAATACCTGAAATTGTTGCAAATGCTAATGAATTTAAATCAAAGAAAGTAAATTTAAAACTATTACAAACTCCAAAAGAAGAAATGTTGTTCAACATTGATTCCTATAAAATTATCGGAATTGGTATTTCACGTGGAAATGAAAAATACATGAAAAGTACTATTTGTGTTGCAAGAAATATTTTTACAAAAGGAATTATTGTTGGAAGTTTTGAAGGTCATTCAGGAGGAAGAACTGCTAGACTGTGTTCATATAAATTTGTTGATTATTTCTTAAATCGAGTAAGTAATAAGCCGATGCAAGAGAATATAGAAGAATCATTAATTTCTACATTTCAACGATTAAATGAAAAAGTAAAAAAAAAGAATTTTAGTGATGGGTGTAGTGGATTAGTTTATGTTTTTTATAATAAAATGTTATATTTTGCACAATGTGGAAGTATACGAAGTTATATTATTTCAAATTCAAATATTAAAGAAATAGGAATTGACCATTGTTTAGATAATAATGAAATGAAAAAGAAAATTATGCAAAAAGGAGGTTTTGTTGATAATAATAATATGTTAAATGGAGTGATTAATGTTGGTAAATGTATTGGTGAAAGTAAGTATCATAACTTATTAAGTGCAATTCCTGATATAACAAAAATAGAGTATGACAATGACTTTAAATTTGTATTAACAATTTCAAAATCAGTATGGGATGTTATTGATCAAAATGAGCTTCAATCAATCATAATGGAATCTGTTCATATTCAACCACCAGGAATAGCTAACTTAATTAGAGATATTGCACTAGAAAGAAATTGTATAGGAAATATAAATGTGACAATTTTATCTTTGGATTCTTTTATTGAAATAAATAATGAAGAGAAATAATAATAACTTTTTTAATTTATTTTTTCTAATATTTATTTTAGTTAATTCTAAATCAATATTTTTTGTAAAAAAATGTTTTTATATTTTTTTGTATTTTTTCATTATTTCTTCTTATTTTATTTTTATAAAAACTCAAACACTTAATTTAAAACAAAATTATTCTTTCTTTTCTTCAACTATTTCCTCTTCTTTTTTTACTTGTTTTTTTTGTGGAACTTGTCTTGGTTTTGGTTTATATGCTGCTTTTTGTTCTACATCAAGAGCATTCCACATCTCTACTAATTTGCTAAGAATTTCTTTTGAAGTTAAATTTGGATTAGCTGCTCTAACTTCTTCTCTTTTCGTATTACAAAAAATGATATAAGGATTTTTATTTTTTTTTCCTCCTTTTTTCTTAGTAGATCTTGTAATCTTCGGTTTTTTGCTATTGTTGTTAGTCCCTTTCCATTCTCTTATTATATTAAACATATCCTTTCGAATATATCTTTTATTTTTTAAAAAATTCCTAACACTTTACTTACATAATATTGACACAGTTTCACAAACTTAAACAGTGCCTCTTTTTATCTTACAATAACGTATAAGTCTTAATCTACTTAGAATATAACCATTTCAATAAGATTGAAATGTGATTAATTCATCTCAAAAATTAGATGAAAGGTTGATAATAACCAAGTGTTTGGGTATTAAAAAAGAGTCTAAAACATAAAAACAAACGTGTCTTCCATATCAGACATGAATTAAATGAAATCTAAAAATTCATTAATCAGACTCCTATTTAGAGGTTTCTAACTTTTTTATCTTTTTCATAAAATTTATTAATTAATAATTATTCTCTTATTATCTTAAAAATATATGTTTCTAGAAGTCTAAAAATATAGAGATGTTTAAATAAATTATTAACTGAGTAATTAAATCAAAAATTATATTACAAAAATGGAAAATAAATATTTTTAATTGTTTATTATGAGAGATAGACTGTAAAAATTAATAATTAAGAAAGTCTTAGCCTTCCTAAATAAATTAAGAGTTGTTACAATTAATATTTTGAATTTTGATTTTCAGTCATAAAGGTTTCTTCATCTTTTATATCTTGTTGGAGTGTAGCGGCACCTTTTCTTTTTCCTAATGATAAAATTTTCTTACGAACATCACAATTTAATTTATCAATTGAATAACGTAATCCTTCTCTACTAAAATACCTGAAATTTTGAGTAATAAACTCAACTACATTTTCACTAAACATTAATGACATTTCTCTTAACAAACATCCAACTCCTAATTGAACAAATCGTTCACTACTTCTTAAACAATGAGCACATATCTCAAAAGATAATTCTGTCATTGCTCCAACTTTAGCCAAATTAACAAAAGCAATACAACATGCTCTCATACGCCATACTTTTCCTGAGTCTTTCCATTGTGCAACACTATGAGCAAATTCATCACTTTTTTTAACCAATGGTCCAAGTACTTTATTACTAAAAGAGTCACAAGTACTCCAATCAGGGACATAATTATCAATTATTCTGGCAAAGTCATTAAGATAATTTACCGTTAAGAAGTCTAAATTTTTTACAATAGTTAATGTCCCAATACGTTTTTCTTCAGCTGATTCTTGTTTTAAAAATCTAAACGAAAAATACATTTGAATTGTTGGTGATAATTTGGCCAATGAAGAATTATAAAAATTATCAAATATTTGTTGTAAATCAGCAGCTCGTATTTTATCATTTCCGTTTTCGTGTAATATTTGTTGTAATGTTTCAACAATTGTATTTGGTGGAATATATGTCCATACTCCACCCACTTGAGCAATATGAACTTTTTGTGACGTCGTAGCCATTTGTTTATTCTTTTACTTCTTCGAAGTTCTTTGTTATTTATTTCAAATACAAAACTTTTTTTGGTGAAGCTGAAATTATAGAAATATTATAATATTTATTCCATTCTTGAAGTTTCATAATTTTCTTGCTAAATTTAGCTTGTTCACTTCTCTCTTGCTTTCCAACAAAAGAAGAATTTGTTTAAAATAAAAAACTACTTACTTTCATTTCTTGCCATATAAACATAAGTTATGAAGTATATTTGATTTCTTTGACTGTCTGGGTTCTTAAACTTATTTCATTTTCTTGTCTCTTTCTTTTATAACAAAGTCTACAAAAACACCTTTACTTCTTATTCCACTATCAACCCTTCTACCTTCAAAAAAGGAAATTACAACAAAAAAAATTGTATTAAAAAATAAAAAAAAAAGAATGTATCTCTAAGAATAATTGAATGGTTTAGGATTGTCATTTTCAAGTAAAGTATTAAATTTGTTCTTCATAACTCAAAAAAAAATGAGAAAATAATAATAGTTAATTTTATAATACTTATAACTATTTAATTTAAACCCATAATAATTATTTAAGAAAAAAAAACTATAAAAAAGGAAAAAAAGAAGAACAAGTTAGATCCTTCAGGTTCAAATAAAATGATGAGTGAGTATAATCTTCTTATGAAGATAAAGGCCGTCCACAACTTGTTACGCATGGCCATCTCTCTGATTTTTATTTCATTTATAATTTTGATTATTTTGAAGTGTTGATCAGAATTTGGTTATTCATATTATAGTATGATGAAAAAGATTTGTCATTGGTTAAACTAAAACATAAATTATTGTTTTTTCTTCCAAAGAGATGATTTTTGAGTATATTTAATTGCAGTCTCTAATATTTCTTTATAAGAATTTCCACTTATTGCAGATGTTTCAAAGAATCCTGAAATTTTGCTTTTC